AGATAGATAGATAGATAGATAGATAGATAGATAGATAGATAGATAGATAGATAGAGAGACAGAGAGAGGGGGGGAGAGACAGACAGACAGACAGGCAAACAGACAGACAGACAGACAGACAGACAGAAAGACAGACAGACGGAGAGTGAGAGACAGAGGAGGGGGGGGGGAACAAAAACTTGAAAGTGTCCATCGTTTGGCGACGGTGCTATGTCAAAAACTCATGTAATTCCCTTTGGGCAGGTCGCCATGTTACAGACAATATTGACACAGGACACACGGCTATTTCAGACACGTCCGCGGGCAGTTCTGTGTTGGCCCCTGTCGGCCCACCTCGACCTCGCACCAGGAAACCGTTAACGTACTACTTTTGTCGTTTTTTTAAACGAATAAAATGCTTACTTTACTTTACTTTTTTTTTTTTTTTTTAAGTTTTAGTAAGTGTTTTACATACGGCACTTGCAACACACTAAGGTCATATAAGTGCCGAAGATTAGAGGTGTTACAAGGGAGTAACAAACACAAAAAAGAAGGAGGGGGGGAAAAGACGATTGAAGTTTGACAGGAAAGAAGAAGCAAACCACACCAGAGCAGCCGCCAACCACCCACTTTACTTTACTTTACTTTACTTCACTTTACTCTACTTTAGTAAGGTTTAGCGGCCTTACAACTGCATAAGGGGTGGATGTCAACAGTGAATGTCCTTACAGTGAATTGGGCTTACTCTGCTCACCTCTCTAGCTTTAACAGCACAAAGTCTGCTTCGACTATCAAGGCACCCCGGAAATAGCGGGTCACAAGAGTGTGACAAACATACAAAAGAAGAGGGGAAATGACGATAGTAAGGATTAGGAAAGAAAAGGCAGCAGTTCCCTGTTGCAGTTGAGGCACAGTTATGATATTGATGAATCAGCCAATTTACAATTCTACTGTGCATAAGAACAGGTTGATGTCCCCCCTTCTGGAATGGCCTAAAGACACTACAGTCAGTAGCACCGCCCCGGGGGTACCCCTTTACTTTACTTTTCTTTACCCTTACTCTTGTATCGCTAGATGTTGATGGGACGTGCAGTTTTCGGTCAAGGGCTACTTTGGTATATATATACATGTATATTCTTTTGGAAGACGCCAACCAGCCAAGATCAAATCGAGTAAAATGATGGATTGAAAAGCATAGATAAGCAGAATTTCTTACATGACATGTGGCATGTGACACGAACCATCTTGGCCCTTCGTGACTAGTATTTCCTTTCTTTTTTCCGCTCTCTCAACTACTGTCAGGCTAGTAATAGGTAAAAGTGCTTAGGGGTAAAGAGAGGGAGACGAGACAGAGGGAGACGAGAGATAGAGAGAGGGGGAGAGAGTGAGAGATAGAGAGGGAGGGGGAGAGGGAAAGGGAGAGAGAGGGAGAGAGAGTTTGTTTGTTTGAGTAAAGAGAAACACATTGACACAGTAATGGCCATTTAGTGCAAGAACAAAGACAGACAGACAGAAACAACAGAGGGAAAGTAAAGAAGTAAGACAAACCAGTGGCACCCTTTAACCACCCACAGAAATGAAGGGTGGGGAGGAAAGAAAAATAGGAGAGAGAGAGAGAGAGAGAGAGAGG